AAAGAGCTGGGGCTACAGCTCCTTTACTTATTATTGGGTGGCCTAGGTAAGTCAACGACCCCAATTCTTGGCTTCCTCTCCTGAAAAAGTACAATAATAGCCACATTTCAGGGCTGTTGTAAAGAGTCTATATGCTGCGTGCAGAGAATCCAGCATGTGCCTGATTGGATGGCTGCTAAGTAAGCAATAACCCCTACTGCTATTGTATATTGCTCTACAATTTATAAAACACATTCATGTGCACTATCTATTTGCTCCAGATGCAGTCTTATGAGCTGATCTAGACTGTGTTATCAGTTCTATTTTTACAGGTGAGGAAATAGACAGGTAATGCGCTACAGGTGAACTGCAAGCCAGGTCTCCCCGTGCTTGACTCTATGTTCCTTGTTGACAGTCTTTTCCCTTAAATGGGTCAGCTGGCAGCCCACTGAGGGGCAGGCCCGTCCATGGGGCACAGATGAGCCTGGGGGAGGGGAGTGGACAAAGGCAGGTGGGAGGGTGCTAAAGAAGTTCTTAATTTTGCTACAACCATCTCAGACATTGTGCGGCTGAGTGTTTACCTGTCTGACAGCAATCTGTAAACACTATCACGATTTCAAGTTGGTCCTGTTTGAGATCCATGAATGAAGAATGTTCCTCAGACCCCAAACAAACCACAGACCCAAAGGAATATTTTTATTGGCATGCCATATGAATTATTAGAATAATTTCATCTCACTGTCAACATTTATGGCACAGAGCCTGACACACAAGAGGTTCTCCGTGAATATTGGTTGAATGCTCAGTAAATAGACGTTGGGATTTTATTTTCACAAGAGCATTCCTGACCACTCAAGGTGAGTGCTGAGTGAAATGAAAGCATTTCAGGGTTAGTCATCACAAAGGGCGGAGAAATCGGAGCAGCTGGGTCGGCCCGGGTATCCCACCTGTCATGCAAGGGTTGGTTTTGCCTATTGTTCTAAGCTACATTTCTTTCACCGTGAATTCCTCCAACATGAGCGAAAAATGGGAATGACAGTATGGGAAGGTGTAGTCACATCTGTCTGTCACAAAGGAAGCATGGTGGCTGCCAACTCATTGTTTGGAAGAATCAAGGGTGTGGCTCAAGGTCAGAGGGGAAGAGATCAGTGTTGCTTTCCATGTGGGATGGGCTGGACCGGGAGGGGTGGGGGAGCCGCCCTCCCAGATGGGTTACTCGGGGCTGTGTTAGTGTCCAAGGGCAGCTGCAACAAATTGCCTCCAACTGGGTGGCTTAAAACAACAGGAATTGATCCTCTTACAGTTCTGGAGGCCGCAAGTCCGAAATCGAGGTGTCAGCAGGCTCATCTCCCTGCGAAGGCTCCAGGGCCGCCCGTCAGCCTCCTTCAGCTTCTGGTGGCTCCAGGTGTTTCCTTGGCTTGTGGCAGCATCACTCTCATCTCTGCTCCATCCTCCATGGCCTCTCCTCTGTGTTTTCCCCTGTCTTATGAGAACACTTGTTATTGGATTTAGGGCCCACCCAGTTACACCAGAGTGAATCTCATCTTGAGATTCTTGATTTAATCACATCTGCAAAGACCCTTTTTCCAAACAAGGCATCCTTCAAAGATACTGGGGTCAGGACTTTGATATATGTTTATTTCAGGGGTGGGGCACAGTTCAATCCACTACAGGGGGGGTTGGCTCGGGTTGCTTTCTGAAAGTGATGCTGATAATGATGGTTTGTGGAGATCCTTGAGAAATTCCCAGTCAACACCAAGCACATTCCTTATTTCACATTTTCAAGAGGAAAATGTTGAATTTAATATTGTGTACCTAGCAATTCTTTTTCATTTCAGAGAAGGTGCCTATTATGAAATCTTTGCATTTTTGACACCTTCTCCATGGATATGGTGGACTCTGTGTCACCAGAATTTTTCTCAGCAGCTGACTTGACATCTTTAAATTCTCTTCCTTTACATTTTAGAAAATCTCTCCCAACATCTGACCCATTACATCGTTCTCTAAAAAGAGGCTGACTTTGAAATTCACTCAGTTGTATTTTTATTAGAAACGGTTAACTAGTTCCAAAAATGTTTTCATGGAATACAGATGAAACATTTCTATCATTTTGAAAAAGAAATATTAAATGTATTTTTATTCAAATGTTTTCATATAGAAAAAACTCAGATTAGGTGTCATTTGAAGGAAAATAGAGGGATAGAGATAAAGGATGTTTGTGAAGTTATTGTTCATTGAAATCTGAGTAATTAGACCCTCCTTCTACAAGCATCATGCTTGTAAGAAAAATTCCAAATAATTCTTTTTCAAGTCTTGATATTTAAATATCCCCCTCCCCAAAAAACGCCTCGTTTTTATTTTTATTTTTTTCTAGAGGCCAAAATCCTGGTCTCTAGAAAAACGGAAGTTCTTTCATTATGACCGCACTTGTCCCAACACTGTTTGGAATTCAAAAATTTAGAAACATCTTAAATATCCATCAACAGGAAAAGCATAAATATAAATGGTGGTATAATCGTGATCTGACACTCGACGCCAGCTGCACAGATGCATTAAAGCTCCGTACGTCAGTGAGGATAAAATAAAGCTCACAAAAATAATGTGGAAAGAGAAAGCAAGTTATGGAGAATGATTTCATGATATAAAAGTTGAAAACATGTACAACAATGCTATATCTCGATTATGGATATGGACACATGAAATAAGGAGGGTAGAAAAATATCCATGTTTCCACATGAAATGCACCTAACTCAGGAGAACGGTCCCTCTGAGAAGGGGAGCACGAAGGGGCTGATGTCAGGAGGTTGCCCAAGGGACAATACATGCGTGTTTTTATTTCTCAAAAAAATATATTATATAGAAAATATGAGAAAATGGTGGGTTTGCTAGAGCTGAATGGTGGGCATATGGGGCTTCATTATTACTCTCTGGATTTTTCTGTGTGTTTGAGATAATTCATAATTAGAAAAGTAAGTTCCCTATTTTTCACCGACTGAACAGACTGTGTATTCAAAATGCAGCACCGTCGAGCTGATGGGGAGATGACAGGTTTGAAAGAGGACGCGGGGTAAACAGGAGAGAAGGGCCAGAGTCGGTCAGACGCCTGCCCGGCATTTCGTAACTGTAATTTCAGGCAACGGTCTGAACCTCCATTTCTTCCTGGGTAAAATGGGGATAATCTCTGCCTTGCCTACTTCACAGGGATGCGTGAGAGTAAATGAGGCTATGATAACAAGTGGGAAGTGGCCGTTGGGGTAATTGCTGCTAATGATTGAGCAGTTACTGTGTTTTCAAACAGGCGCTAAGCACTCATTATTTTCTTTGAGGCTGATAACAGCTCTATGACGTCCGGTATTATTTTCCACATCTTTTCCTTCCAGAACCACCGCCCACCCACTCACTTCCCCACCCCCACCACCAACAAGGAATAGGCTACAACTTGGTAGTGAGGGAACAGCAGTGGTCGGTGACCCCCAAGGCCTGGCACAGGAAGTTCTGACCGACCAAGACAGTGATGGAGACTCAGGCTAAGCAGATTCCCTCGGACCTCAATCTTGGAAACACAGAGTGAACCAGTCCACCGGTGACAGAAACCGAAGCTCAGAGAGCACCCAGAGGATGCTGAGGCTGGGGCGCAACCGGCCCACGTGAGACCTGGAGGTGAGCGAGTGGGCGTTTAACTTTGCAATAATGATAAGGTTTTGCTTGAAGGTCTGAACTAGAAGGGTGGCACTGCACACTTACAGGGTGACGGAATTGCGGCTCCGGGGGCTAGAGATGTCGCAGCAAACCGGCAATCTCCTGCCCTGCTAGAGCTTCTGCTAGCTGAACGCCTCTGAGGATGGAGTGGATGGACTTGGTTCTTTAAACTGCTCGTGCCCTTGGCAGCTCCATATTGTCAGCCACCTCCTGCTCACGGAGAGCGTGGAAGGGAACATAAATTTACATCTGACATGGCTGAGGGCCCGTTCGCTTTTTTTGTGGGACTAGGTGGCCGTGGTTAGTTTTCTGCCAGAAAAGGCATGCTTCTGAACCCTTGCACAGAGGTGATTATGAAGAGATTACAGCCCCAAGAAGTTAGGAATTGGCTCGTCTGAGGGAGTACAGCTGTCAAAAGCAGCAGCAGGATGGGACTTGAAGCCTGTTCTTTGCCCCGTTTGTCACCACTTACAAAACGGGCACCCAGGACTCCCGACATCTGGCAAGTTCAACGATCTCGATTTAACAAAACTGAGTATTTATTATAAGGAAGGCATGACCCTCCCACAGCTCTCCTGCTCCTAGCTCCTGGAATTCTTATGAGCAGTGCAGGTCGGGGTGGGGAGGAGCAGACAGATGGACAGAGAGGGACACAGGCAGAACACCTGGCCACTGCAACCTCCAGACCAGACAAACCATTTGCCGCTGAGGCCCAAGGAGCAGTGACATATCCCAGATACAGTAATTCTGAGGCAACATGCTCCCAGACTCACAGGCAATTAGAACACCCTCTCATGGGTTATTACCTCTTGTGCTTATGTAGCCAAGCCCGACACACCTGAGGTCAGGTCCCCAGGGAGCACTGGCAGAAGCAAGGTGTTACCACTCCCTCACCTGGCTCCTCCCTCGCTGCAGAGAAATCAGGAGCCAGGCAAAAGCGCATTAACCCTTTAGGACCAGAGAAAGGGCAAAAGAAGCCCCAAGGTGCCACCCGTCTTCTCATCCCATCCGTCTGCTTGATCTTAACCGACGCGCTTTGACAGAGCCCTAGGTAAAAGGCGCAGTGACATTTCTTTCCCACAGAGGTACCTCTTATGACCATTTATAATTCGCTCCCAATCGAGTCAAGAGGCATATGCTGACATATTTTATCATCACATCTGCAGGTGTGACCCGGACTGGATAAAGCTCTGACTCAGTGTTGTAAGCAATCGTCTGTTTTATTTTAAAACATGTCTACACCGCATTGAGCATCAACACAGATGTGACTAAGATGTGACCCACGGTCCTGTCACCAGCAGGCAATGGGTCCAGTGTACGACTTGGGGTGGACCGTTATTTTTCACAGTGAGAGAAAAAAAGGAAGACCAGGAAAGACAAAATGGACGTTATTCCCAACTCCTGTTCAGGAATCTGAGTGATGAAACGGAAAGATAATAAGCTCACCAAGCTCTTCTAAACCCCCTTCTCTCAATCGGCTGATGTTCAAATAGGGAACCTGGTCTGGTGGGCCAGCTGGGCTTGGGCAGCAGAAGGGCACTGTTTAAAATAACACACACACGTCGCTGCGAAAAATGGGAAGAACAGGCTGTGCTTTCCGCTTAACAGTTTACTTTTTCCTGTTTTATGAACTCGTACAAGTTTAGAGGATGTCAGAACTGCCCAGTGCAGTCACAACAGAGCATCTGCTCAGTATGAACACTTTTTGTTCAGGAAAAAAGCATTTAATTGACCTCTGGGAAGAAAAGTACTAAGGGTTGGATGTCGCCAACACAGAATTGCAGCTTAGGCTCCTTTAGTGTGATCTTTTTAATTATAACCCCATAGAAATAGGTGGTATATCATGAAGATGGAGAATACCTTCTATTTTTAAACCCACTGCTTTTTAAAAATTTATATCTTACAGGATTAGTGTTGCTTCCCACAGCTTTCCTCTGAGACAGAAAATAAATGTTAGAAAACTGGCAGGTTCTATTTTCCCTGCCAGAGGCACAGACAGGGTCTCCTTCTGGTTGGGATTCTTGGTTTCTGGAACGAGTGGGTCTCGGGCACCACTAGGCTTCCAGCAGCCTCCCCGGCCATCATCGGGGCTGAGGTCTCCATGTTCCAGAACAAAGCAGCCAATCTGAAGGAGTTACGTCATGGAAACGAGAGATAGCCACCCCCTTAGTTCTGGCTCCCTGTCGTCTGAGGGAAGTGGAGGGGGCAAGTGAGAGTCATCAAGTCATCATGGAAGAAGATAGTAAAGCAAGTCTACAGGCTGCCCGGTGGCCTTGCTGTGATAAACAAAATGGCTTCTCCAAAGTATGGATTTCCTGTTTATGATCTAAAATAAATGCCTTGGAAGTTATTTATCTGACAGCAAGAGACAGTTGCTCATTACATATTTACCCCTGTTTCGATTTCCTACTTCGTTATTCACACCAAGTCAGGCTTTAAAAGTAGACCAAACCGGACCAGAATGTGTACATTTCAACAGATCGGAAATTGCAAAAATGCTCATGGCATTTACTGACCTAACACTAGACCCAAGGACTCTGCTGGCATAAATATTTTCAGATTCCTTTGCATTTTGACAATAACAGTGAACGGTCGGACCAAAGACGTGATTACAGTTTCTAACATCGATGGAATTACATTATCTATCTTAGTTATGAATCTATTGACACAGTTTTGCTCCATTTCCTATGCACGTTGTCTTTTAAGTCATCTTTTACAAAATTTACATTTAAAAAAAAAAATTCTCAAAAGACAAATGCTTGGAGAAGCAAGCGAATGATCTTTCCTTCGGTTACTGTTGGCAAGTAGAGGAATCACCATGGATCTTGAGTGGGCTGGCCAAGCATTTCTATGGATCATCTTCTCCCACATGCTCGGGGGGACAGGGGGGCGGGGGCGCCGGAAACTCTCTTTTGAAAACATGTTGGCAGAAGGACACAATTCTTCGGCTCTTTAGGGCCTGTGAAAACAAAGGGAAAGGTGAGTGTCACTTCTTTTACTGGCACTGGGAAGAGCAATCCCGTGAGTCAGGTTCCTCTTTGTCCTGTGCTCTGCATCTTCCCGTTCTGGGACCCGTGCTCTTTCTTCCTGCTCATTCTTCCTCCACGCCTGGTCCTCACACAGTCAGAGTCAGATTCCCGGGCATTTCCAAACATATAAATCTGGGACCGTACGGACACTCGTGTTTCTCAACACCTCCCCCTCCCCACATTGTAAAGCATTTGCCCTCTCCCCACTTTCCCTGCTCCCCATTCATATGTCACCTCCCCAACAGAAATAAGCAAAAGTGTTTCCTCTGGCTATGAATTCGAGTGCTCTGAATTCTTAGGAAGTTTTAATAAAGAGAAGAAATTCCTTCCCCTTCTGGACAATCAGTGCTAGGAGCATGAGACCATGGGGGCGGGGGCGGCAGGGCAGGATGGAGGAAGGGCCCCACCACCAGTAGATTCCCTCGTCAGAATGGAGCTGGGCCCTGCAGGAGATACTCTGCTGGAAACCTCCCACCTGTGATGATCGGGAGCAGCACGACTAGGTCTCAAGTTCAACCTTGGTTTGGCTTCTCTCTCAAGTTCAGTTAGTTGGAAAATGAAGAGAAGAGGTCAAATCTGGTCAGATCTCAATAGGACTCAACCAAAGAGCCACCTCTGACTGTGACTTTTTTCTTAGAAACTTCTAAGGCCTATATAGACACTTGTCCTTCTGATAAAGCTTCAGATGTAGTACTTATGGAGAGACGGGGCTTCTGACTATGACCTTCATTTAGAGGTTTCTATTAGTTCAAAGGTTGGAGCCCTAAAGTGACCATCTTCATTAACCTATCACATGGGTGTAAGTTATTTACTTACGAGTACCTTCCCGACATTTTTCGCACAACCACAATGATGATCCCACCAATGAATCCGATGGCTAGTAAGACCCCGACAGTGATTCCAATCAGGGTGCCTGTCGCCAAGCCATCTGAATGAGAGAGGGAAAAAGCTTGAGCCCAGATAAACAATACACTGCAATAATACAACGTGTCATTAATACACAACATACTGTCCCACTAGAGATAGCAAATAATGGTCCACATTGCTTCTCCTATACCCAGAGGAAGTTGTCTTAGAAGAGGAGAAATCTTGGGATATTCTAACCCCATCTTACAAATGGAAAGATTTCTGGGTCTCAGGATCTATCGAGCATATCACTCATACTGGGTGGCTTTGCTGTTAATTATCGGGTGGCGTTTGTGTACGGCTGTTAAATTAGCACCCGTTTTCATTCTTAGTAACAATAAATTGTGATATGACGCCATTCTCTGTAGTTGTCACTAAGTGAATAGACTCGTTTGTAGTTTGCTTATTTTGAAACACAGGCAATTCCCTTTTCCCTCTTAAAAGACGTTTGAATCCTGTTCTTGGAAGGTTCTATGTTTTGCTCTTGTTGACTACAATCCAAGAGAGAATGTAATTCATCACAAAGATTAGGTTCAAAGAAATCTTTTTTTTTAATCCTCATAGAATATTTTGATACCAAAATCTAGCTTACCTTTCTCAATTGTTGTTTGTGTGTCTCCTGTAAAGTGAGAGATATAATGATATAGAATTATTAAAATTTAATAACTATAATTTAACAATTGGCGAAAGATAAATTTGCCCTAAGTGGAAGGTAGCAAAACACAAGCAAAGAGGATAATTTCTTAAATAAATTGGATTAGGGGATTTTTAAGCAAGCTTTGACATGATTCTGTATTCAAAACTATTATTATTGAATTTATGAACGCTTCTTTACGCCTATAATACTTTTGTGTACATTACTTTTCTATCATCCACTTTAGAGAGCAGAGTCAAGGAAACTGACCCACAGATCTTAAATAAATGATCAAAATGTTTCAGAGCTTAAGTTAACGAAAGAATCCAAGGATGTTGATTCTTGGTCTAGTGTCAAGACCATAGAAAACTTACCCACTGGAATGAGATCTACTTTGAAGGATTTTCATTTCAAGAATAATATACTCCATTTTTGGAAGATGTGGCCAAGACTGTGATTTTGTTTTGTGATATTAATTCTCTGCTTTTGCTTTAGTAGCAAAATTCACATCTTACAGGGTGACAATATACTCAGCTCTGTTTAATGAGAGAATACACTCTGTGTTTATGCCAATGTTGTTTTAGAATTTCTATCTGCAGCCAAACCTAGTCTAATTATTACAATGTGAGTATTTTCATTTACCTATCACATGGGTTTAAGTTATTTACTCATAAGTACCTTTCCTGCAAGAAAATCAAATTTTCAGATAATTTTACACAATTCCTATATTAAAAAAAAAAGGTGTTTTGCTTTGTTTTGTTTCTCCTACCAACTTCTTTTGTATACAGAGTCTGTAACTCCTCTACATGGTATTTATTTATCTGGTTTGCAAATGGAGACTTCGAGTCCTGCCCAGAATAATGGTGTCCTTGAATAGACTCCCAAAATGTCATCCCTGGCTGCCAACTATCCACAGAGTTAAGTCAGTCATTTGCATTTCACGTCTTAACACAGTGGCTGCCAATTCCAGCCTTTATGTAACACACCGTCACCACTGATGACACCACTGGTTAGAAAATACCAAAAATAAAATTTATGGAAAATTCCTTACTAAATGAGAGCTTATTAGTCTCATACTCTCTAGCTTCCTCCCAATCACATGACTGTGATCATAAAATATGTCATATGTGTGAACATCATGGAACCTGGGCGTTTCATGGGAAAGACATCTGCTGCCCTAATAAATTACCTCTTTAAAAAACAAGTGCTTATAATTACATTAACTGACATGAACATCTCTTCGGACACTGACGTATGAAGTAGGAATGTGCTTTAAGTCACACTTTTTGTGAATGGGTGGGGCAGGGGATGGGACAGGAGAGTAACCATGAGAGTTTTCAGGCAATTGAGATTTTTTTTTTAAGGATTAGGAGAGGTATCCTGGAATGATAGAAAGAATATTCAGGTTAGAAGTTTCTATTTTCTGCTGGTAATTAACTGTCGAATCAAGTTACAAATGATCAATTCTTCTCCAAAATTTTGAAATGCTTTCTAATGATCAATTATATTGATAATACTTTCCTAGCTTAGCCCTACTTGGTTTTCTCTGGTATTTAAACGTTAGCCATTTTTTTTAGCATCTTGGAGTAAACTTTAGTCTTTATTTTCAAAGCATTTGATGAAGGTTTTTTTATTGTAATAAAACGCATAACAAAATTTACTATATTCACCATTTCTGAATACGATTCAGTGGCATTGAGTACATCCACACTGTTCTGCAATCATCACCACCGTCCATCTCCAGAACTCTTTCATCTTCAAAAACTGACATTTTATACTCATCAAAAAATAACTCCTCACGTCCTCCTCTGCCCCCTGCCCCTGGCTCCACCCTTCTACTTTCCGTCCCTGTCATTTTACTACTCATCTAGGTGGGATCATACAGCATTTGTCTTTTGATGACTGGCTTATTCCATTTAGTATAATGTCCTCAAAGTTTATTCAAGTTGAAGTATATATCAGAATTTCCTTCCTTTTAAAGGCTGAATAATATTCTATTGTATACATATACCACATTTTGTTTATCTAATTCATTTTTCAATGAATTCCATGTTTTATATATTGTGAACAATGCTACTATGAAAATGGGCG